TCAACAGTACGTCCTTCAAGTCGCTCGCCGGTATTTTTGCAAGCTTGGCATATTTTGAGAATTGTGAAAGCCATATTTTAAAGCTATGGCCCATAACAAAACTTCGCGGGACTTTAGGTACATATTTTGCTTTGCTTTCATTGTTTTCTTGAATTATTTGCTTCATAGTACTGACTAATTCTGACTCACTTGATGAACTCGTACCACTACCTTCCTCCGTGACTTTCTCTCTGTCAGCCTTGTCCTTCTCCTCAGCTGCTTTCTGTCTACCGTTTACCATCTTTTTCTTCTTTAACCTCTACTTCGTTGTCTTCCTCTTAGTATCCCACCGCTGCCACCAGTTGTAAGATAATATATTTATTAATAATTACAAAGTATTACAAGGTCATGAATCCCGCACACAAGCACAAGCACTCAACCAGTCCTCTACGCCATCAGTCATACGTGATATCACGCAATAACGAATCCACTGTTCTTACATAGTGATAATGAATGGTTGATCGAATGGACTTAGAAATAGATGGAAGGATGAATTTACAATTGGTTGGGTTCAGTGATAGATGGATATGGCCGATTTAAAGCATTTTCTCTATTTTTGTAGCTTGGAGGAGAAGCAAGACTCCCTAAACAGACGCCAGAAGAATCTTCTTTCTGATTGGGACACGAGAAAGTCTGAAGTGTCTGATTGGTTGACCGACACGTCAACCAAACTTAAGGAACTAGACGCTAATGTTAGCAATGTTGACGCGGCTAAAGACCAAACTCTAAAATTACAGGTTGGTTGTCAATGGCAATACCATGTCGATGGGGTCGAAGTTTGGTTGCTGATTTAGTATTAACAGTATTAGTAACTGTTGTCGTCGTTGCTGTTGTAATTGTTGTGTTTGTTGTTGTGTGTGAGGTGTCATTGTCTTTTGACCTTAATATTTTCATTCAATCATTAGCATATACGCAAAGACGTAACTGGGTATGAAAAACACGTTCGTACGCTGGAGGACTTTGCCGATACATTGATCATGGAGCCTGGGATCCACTCTAGCGAGAAGGCACTGGTAACGAGAGAGAAACAGGCAATCAGGGAAAGATGGGAGTCTTTGAACACCGCCACACACAACGTCCAGAAAAAGTACGTTGATTGCGCCTCACGTGAAAATTTCTCTATCACTATGACGTCAATATGACGTTTTGTACACAAGTACCAGAATGCTTTGCGGTAGTTTCTGACTGCATGCTAAGCTCCAGATTATTAGTTTTCAAATTTGAATGTCTCAAATCACCTGTATAAAAAGATGTTATGTTTTTACAGGCTTGGTAGTCGTATCGACGACCTCGAAGGAGAGCAAACACGACGGCTTAACGACTGGAGAAGACAAAGTCAACCGCTGGACAGCTGGCTCAACGAGACAGAGACTGAAGTCGAGGCTTACGAGCCCATCGCCTATGACATTCCGATGGTTGAAAGACAACAACGAGAAAACCAGGTAGACAAATATAAGGACTTGAGCTTTGTAGTTTTTTCGATTATTCATTAACGTATGTAGTTTGTGTTGAATGCGTTAGTATGTTGCCTTAACATGTCTTGTATGTCTACCAAAAGTCCACCATGAAGGATATTGAGCAAAAGAAACCACAGTTTGATGAACTTGACAACTTTGCTAACGTGCTGAAAAACGAGACTTTCATCGGTCTTGAAGAGAAAGTGAAGATACAAGACGACATGGAGTCATTGCAAGAACGCTTTGAAAACGTTGATGATGCTGTTACAAAGAGACAAGCAGAGTGAGTATGAGTTTACACTTGAATATAACACAGAAACCGTTTGAAACTATACGAAATAAAGCACGCTCTTTTAATAAATTATCTTTAGATAAAGCTTGAATTGACATAACTTTGATACTTCTATTCTTTATTAGTATTGAAACACGACTTAGTGAGCTACAAGAAGAAGAAAGGTTAAGAAAACAAGGAGAAGAGCTCGAACGACAGCGAAGAGAAGAAGAACGAAGGCAGCGAGAGATTGAGCGAAGAAAGGAAGAAGAAGAAAAACTACGAAGGCAACAAGAAGAAAGAGAAAGACTAGAAGAAGAACAACGAAGACGAGACTACGAGGAAAAGAAAAGACAAGAAGAATTAGAACGACTACGACAAGAGCAGGAAAGACGACAGAGAGAAGAAGAAGAACAAAAACGAAGAAAGGAACAAGAAGAGAAGCGAGCGGAAGAAGAGCGAAAAAAGAAGGAGGAAGAACAGAAAACAGTAAGTCGAAAAAATAAGACCTTTACGAAGGAAAAAAGAAAACGAAACAGAAAAGTCTCCCGTTTCTTTTTATTAATTATTAATTAATTCATTTTATTTTTATTTTTGTTTTGTTCTATGTATTTTCTTCCTTTAAATATTATGCTTTCCTTCATTCTTTTCATTCATTTCTCTCCCATTTTTCTATTTTTCCATTTCCCGTGACTTACATCCCATTTCACTGCACACAGTACACCATTCTGTACGAACCAAGATTATCCAAACCCATCGAACAAGAAATCATGGTCCAACACGAGGCTATCGTGGAATCCATGCAATCTCCGGACGATTGGGATAACCCGTTTGCAGAAATTGGGGCCCTCAGTCGACAAGACTTAGACACGTGGAGGGACGATGCAGATGAAATTCGACAGTGGATGAAGCAAAAAGAACGAGTACTCGACGATGAGAGCGATGATGAGGATATTGTGGGCTTAAAGCAGGAAAGAAAACAATTGACGGTACGTGGACGTTACGTAACTAAAACGTAACAATGTGCACTATGCATGACGTAAACGTAACGCTCTGTTTTGTATGTAACGTAACATAACGCTCTGTACTGTGTGTAACATAAACCTTACACTCTGTACTGTATGTAACGTAAACGTAACGCTCTGTTCTGTTTGTAACGTAAACGTAATGCTCTGTACCGTGTGTAACGTAAACGTAATGCTCTGTACTGTTTGTAACGTAAACGTAATGCTCTGTACCGTGTGTAACGTAAACGTAATGCTCTGTACTGTTTGTAACGTAAACGTAACGCTCTGTACTTTTGTATGAACGAATGAGATGATTTTCATTCGGATGAGATTGATTTTCAACATGCAGAACTAATAGTGAAACAATTTCTTGGTCAACTGTCAATGCTTTTGCCTTTTATAGCAACTGGAGAACGAAGTCATCGAATATGAGCCAAAATATGAAGACATTAAGTTAAGATACGACACGTTGAAGGATAATGAACATCTTAACGCTGACGATAAACAATCCCTTGACGAAGATATGGACGATATCAACACTCGATGGGAAAAGATGTCATCTGCTAAAGATTTGAAACTAAAACGGTTTGTAATAAAAGACTTGCTGTTTTTACTAGTCAAAAATGTTTTGATTAAGAAATGATTTGCATTTCAGTGTCGAGGATAAGATAAATCAGCGAGAGAAACAGAAATTAAATGATTTAATCGACTGTAGAGCTGATATTAAGAACCTGAATGACTGGATTACAAACAAGAATAACCAGTTTGACAAGTTTGAGCCTCTGGCTAGTGATCTCCCAACTCTACTCATACAAAGGAACGAGCTGAAAGTTAGTAGTTTTTCATCTTTACTTCTTTCATTTCCTTTACTTTCGTTTTTCTGTCTTTCTTTGACTTACAAACGCTCGTAAATTTCCTCTCCTAACATTAAACGATCAACTGATATATTTCTGAGATTTAAAGTTCTCTTATTACCCAAGATGTTTCATGATCGCCTTGTCTTTGTAGCAATTTTCTAAGGAGGTCGCAGACAAAGATCCACAGTTCGTCGGTGTCATCCAGTCGGCAAATAAACTCTCCAAAGACCCAACCCTCTCGCCAGCTGAAAGCGAGGTGTTACACGAGGATGCCATCAACTGTGAAACACGGTGGGATACGTTGAATGATCGAGTTAAGGACCGAGTAGATGGGGTGGTAAGCGTACTGCCATCGCTACAAAAGAACCAAAAACGACTTATGGACGAATGGGAGGATAAACTTGACAGGTTTAGAAAGTCAATCAAGAAATCTGAGAATACTCTGGATGATCAGAAAAATAAATGGCCAACGGTTAGTATATTGTGATTCTCGCTTCTACTTTAGTGCATTTTAACATTCTCTCGGGCGTTTTGAAATGATTTACCTTTATTTGTTTCTTTCTGCAACAAAACCTAAACGTTTTCTTCTCAGAACGAAGACGAACCTGTTCCTAAGGTCGACCTGACAGACGAGTTGACAGAGAAAGTTCAGCAAAACGAAACAATTGAATGGCGAACTGTGGTAGATACCTCAAACGAGCGACTTGCAAAGTATGGTTTACTTTTCATTCTTACTTTCAACCTTTTTTCGCTTTTCCCTGTACTTCCCATTTGCATTGACGTTCGTTTTTCTATCCCTACATTTTCTCTTCCGTTAGTTTTTCCCTTCCATCCTTTTCTCATCCTCTCATCGCACCCTTTTTCCTTTCTTCTCGATTTTTATCCATCCTTTACTCCTTCCATCTCAATCTCCTTCTCCCTTTTCAATCGTTCTTTCATTCATTTTTCTCCCTCTCATTCATTTTGTTCTTTCATTTAGAAAACGCGTTCGTCTTCAAAGAATTCAGCGGGAGAAAAGAAATCGCAAATGGTCGATTCTAGAGGCAATCAAAGGAATGTTTGGGTTTGGCAAAAAGCAGAAGAAAACGGGAGTGAATCTTGATAATCTCATCGTTCACCTTGAAGATCATGAGGTATGACTAGGGTCTCTTGTTGTGGTTCTAGTCTGAGATTTCATGGTTATATTTTATTATAGTAATTGTTATAGTCCTTGGAGCTCATGTGGATTCAGCTGCATCAGGGAGAAATGAAAACAATAGATTTTCATTTCCAAGAGAGGAAGAACCCTTAGAAGAAGCTGTTGTTGTTGTTATTTCCGATAAAGTTGTTGCTGTTGTAGTTATTGTTCGTGCTGTTATTGTTACCATGTTAACAATGATCTTTCTACAGGATCTAATGCAAGAAGTGTCATCAATGCAGCGACCAGCCAATGAACTCGCATTCAGTTGCAATGATCTGATGCACAGTGAAGGTTCCTTAGAGAAAATAAATATCGACAAAGTAGATTCAGACATGCGTGGTGCGAACGAGCAATGGAATCATCTCAATGTCAAGGTCATTGAGAGAGAAAACAGGTCAGTTGGGATTTCTTATAATGGATGGGTTTTCCTCTGTTCTCACCCTAAAGACGACTCGTAGACAAGGAAAAACTACGAGTAATCGTTCCTTTTGATCTCGACCGAATACACTTAAAGATATAAAACAAATATTAGAAACAACAGAATTCTTTGTAATCTCTTGTAGTTTGAACATTTCTTAACTAAGCAAAGAAAGCAGAGATTTCATTTACTTCTAGTAGATTCTAGTTGCCGCTATAATGTCTTGTCGTTCGTTGTGTACAGCGGTCGTGGGACTGGAACATTTAGGTCTATTTTAGGTCAAACATCATAATATAAAGTCCAAACTGACAGTTCCGACTAACCGGGATTAACTCGTATAAATATTGACATTAAAGCAGTGATGTCATTATTGACGTAGCTGAACATTCTGATGTCGTTGAACGCGCCGTGTCTTGAAGAACGTTTGTACTTTAGTAGATGAAATGGCGTCGAATGATCATATAGATCAGTCATTTATCGAAATGGCAGCCGTTACGGCACAGCTAATGCAATATAGGTAAAATAGTACTGATATGGAAATGTGGTTGTCGACGTTTACGTAAGATTGTGTTGTGGTTTTCGTGCCGGGATTTTATCAGTACCGTTATGTCTGAAGAGATTACAATCCACTGCAAACCCATTCAATCTTATGATCAACTCATTATGATAAGTGGTGGCATAAGACTACTTACGCAAAATGAGATTTACGTAAGATGACTGGAGTAAGAAACTAACGTAAGATAACTAACGTAAAAAATTAGCGTAGATAACGAAGAGTTACTGACATTAGGATTAGATGCTCGATGGATATATTTTTAGTAATTTTTTCATGTAAGGTTCAACATAGAATAACGTAAGGATTGAGCGATTTCTAAAGACGAATGGCCGGAAAAGCTGAAACTTACGGTTTATGACGTTTCCAGTCTGTCTTCCTTTATATTTTTTACTTGTTTTGCATAAGAAATGTTCTTTTCATTGTCTTTAATGATGTTTGAATAACATCTCCAAGATGTCTGCTTGCCTTAGCACAGTAGCCTAGATCTTAAGGAATGTTGTAGAAGATTTTAAGCAAACTTTATCTCATGACAGTACAGTCTTTGTAGACAGGATGACCCTAGTATGTCAAACTTGAAGTATCTAAAAGTCAGTCTGGCTCCCTTGTCCCGACAATCTCATATTCATACGCTCTTAGGGGAAAAAATCCCGTTCTTTACAAAGATGACTTCGTTATGACGATCACCTCTGTAGTACGGACCCATTCCTACCGACCATTCGGTTTTTGCAGGCTAGAGGTTCTTATCAAATATATGAAAGTATTTAAGGTTTTTTTCACTTCAGACTGGAGCTGTTGGCCAAAGAGATTGAGGATGAATACGAGGAGTTTGACACGTGGCGAGAAAACTGTGAATCCATGAATCTCTTTCTAAATGAATGTCAAAGACTGCAGAAGGACGAGGAAAAGATCGGAACAGACATTAAAACATTACAGGAGCAAAGTCATGATTGCAAGGTTAGATTCTTTAGGTTGTGCCTCTTTTTTGTTATTTTCCTTATCAGTACATTTTGGTACGGTTATTGCATGAATAATCACCTTATTCCAATCAATAATCGTTTTTCCAGGAATTCCAAAAAGAGCTGGAAGAATATCGTCCACAAGCCGATAATGTATTTGAAATGAGTCAAAAACTTATAGATAGTGGAAGACTCGACAAGTCGGACATGGAAGGCGTGGAACAAACTCGAGATGCACTCAAGAAAAGATGGGATGGCGTCAACGAACATTTGAAGGATAGACAAGACAGGTAAAACAGTTTGTAATTCTTCATATCATAGTTAGATTCAACCAATATTTCTTCATATCATACCCAGCCTTAACCAACAATTCTTCATATCTTACTCATCCTTAACCAACAATTCTTCTTGTCTTACTCATCATTAACCAATAATTCTTCATATCATACTCATCCTTAACCAACAATTCTTCATATCATACTCATCCTTAACCAACAATTCTTCATATC